TTTTAATTTGATGCAATCGTTGCATTTGTAAGCACGATGCTAATAAATTGCAACTGAAGGTAAAATGCAATTGTGTCAAAATGTGTTTATAATTATGAGGAGATTTTGTTCAAATCCAATGAAATTATTGATATAACAATCATATTGATATAACAAATATCATTTTTTCACGATATGTCACCAGGCTTAGTTTTAAAATATTTTTGTCGTAGAATACATTTGTAAGTTATACTAAAAATGCTATTTTAATACCATTTTGTCAAGCAAATTTTCTTTTTATCCTAAAATGTCACAAATGTAAACATAATGACAATAGTTTATTTTTTATTTTTGAGGAACGTCTTACTTTAAAACTGTGCTAAAACATGTAATTAGACTTTCTGTATTTCCCATAGTACACTATCAACAATAACAAAAACAACATAATACATAGTATATATTATATGCACTCACCACAAATGGAGACAGGAACCACTTCCATTGGGCTCATTTGGTTGAAACAATTCTGAATAAACCAATATTGTTGAACCACCAGTGAACGTAATGGTATTGCCTGATATGCTCCCATCCACCCAGAAACTTCTATTCTCTCCATTTGTTTTAATTACGATCTGTCCACGTTCTAAATCGTTCTGGTCAACAACTTGGAATAGAGATCCAGAATCACACTGAGCATTAGCCGGATGCGCTGTACTAGAACTAGGACGCGGTAAATCTGTTGAATATACGACCATTACAACATTATTAATAAGACATCACTTATAAATGGAATATTTTCAGAACACGTGAATGTATTGCCGTATAAATGTAAATGTAAAACGTGAGTATTCATTGAAACTTTTTGCGGAAAACTATAATACATATATATACACATAACGATCACTGTACCTGCACATAGATACTTCTGATTGTAGTCGCACGTCGTATCATCCAATTTCCAGTCATTGTTGTACCACCTGTAAATATGATTGTATTTGATCGCTTTATAACGGCAATATGTACTCAAAATGATTTACTCACCTATAAACTCACGACCTTCGTACTACATGACAAGTTGTTCAGATAGCTATTTTATGATAATTAAATTACTCTGCAATGTATATCGTCATTCTGACAGTGTTTAAATAAACATCAAACTGTTTTAACATACAAAGCAAATACGGAATAAAATGTAATAATGAAAACAGGCCTTGTATTTTGTACTCACCACAAATGGAGACATTGCCCACTTCCATTTTGTTCATTACTGTGAAACAAAGACGAATCTACTGACATTGTTGAACCATCACTGAATGTAATTGTACTGCCTGAAATCGTGCCATCAACCCAGAAGCTTCTATTTTCTCCATTCTGTTGTAGTGCATGTCTTGCCCAATTCAAACTAGCTTGACTATTAACTTTATATGGAGATTTACATTGATTATCAAACGGAAACACTGCTTCTGTGCTTGCTATTAAAGCAGAGCTGAAAAATTTGTTATCAACAACAATTTTATAACGTAATACATT